ATTCATAAGATGAACCTGCTGTAGCCTGTACGTCCAGATGCTGGGGAGACTTATTGTGAAAATCAAAAGCAACCTTTCTATTGTTATTGCTTGAGTAAAATCACTGGGCAAAAATTCCAAAACAACAACTTAGTTAAATCCCCCATAAATGAATACTATGCACAAAACCTATGAGCTAAAGCCTGAAAGTTCAACTGAATAGATGTTGAACAACAAGATATAAAATCAAAAGTCCTCAGATTTGATAGCTATTTTAGGACTATATTTAATCAAAAACCATCATTTGCAGTTTAAGGGCAGTTTAAGGTTACTAGCAGTGACATTTATCAAGCACTTTTGGTACCATCTGTATGGCAACTCTGATATGATTTATCATCACAGCTAGATAGATAGATAGATAGAAGATCATCTGGATCAATGGATGGATGAATGGATAAATGAATGAATAAATAAAAAGGGTTAATTACGCTTTGCTCCCCTGAGGAAATCAGGCAATGGCACCACAAAAGGCTAACAATAAATAGCAACCAAAAGAACTGCTCTTTTGCCACAAAATTTTTGTCACGGGGCAAAAATCAAGAATTATTTAATAGATATACATGAAAAGAATAAATAATCTCAATTATATAAAAAACTAAAAAGAATCAAATGCTTGAAAGCCACCACAACTAAATAAGAAACTAAAGCAATAAATATCCAAAAATGCAAAAAATTTCAAACATATTTCATAAGAAGCCCTCAGATCTCATGGCTTCAATGAATCATAGACGGAATTTGACGGGTAATTCAACAGATGCCTTTTACAGATCACCGACAAAAAAACCAGCCAAGCCATGCACCAGTGTGTGTGTATGTGTGTGTATAAACTCAAGCAATTTTCCCGGAGTAAAGAACATAAACAAAAGGGCGGAGCCGCCGAGGGAGGATTTTCAGCAGGGGAAAATGAGGGAAGGCTTTAGCAGCGAGTCTAACCATGGAGGCAAGGCTTCAAGATCAGATCAGGAGCGGCGCAAAGGGATTGCCTGGACAGAGGTGGGTGGCGGCTAATTTTTCCGGTGAAGTGCAAAGGCAACCGTTGAATTTTAAACCCTGTCAATCCCCTCACTATTAACAATTTTTTCCATCATTGGCTGCAACAGAAAATTTGAGAAAAAAAACAATACTAATCAACAAAAAATCAAATGATAATACATTATATATAAAATCAAGCAATTTTCCCGGAGTAAAGAACATAAACAAAAGGGCGGAGCCGCGGATGGAGGATTTTCAGCAGGGGAAAATGAGGGAAGGCTTTAGCGGCGAGTCTAACCATGGAGTGATGGAGGCAAGGCTTCAAGATCAGATCAGGAGCGGCAAAGGGATTGCCTAGACAGAGGATGAACACAGGCAAATTATGTTGCACTAGATCAGAATGTCGGCTGAACTCTTTAGGTTAGGGTTAATAACTTATAAAATTATAAAATTGCCCCTATATTTTTTAATAGTTACATAATATACCCCGGGTCGGGTACCCGCGGGTTTTTGCTTTTACGATCCGTATCCGTATCCGAATATTCCGGGTACCCGACCCTATCTGATCCGCTGAGAGAAATCGGATCGGGTATCCTATTTTTCGGATCGGATCGGATCGGATCTCTCGGGTTTTCGGGTCAGCGGGTATTTTTGCCCACCCCTACGTCCAGCCACCCAGTTCGGGCGAACTCCATCCGCGTCTTCAAGCCTTGCAGGATGGTTCTGTTGACGTTCTAGACCTGCCCGTTTGCTTGAGGGTGGCCTACCGAGGTGAAGTGCTGCCGGATTCCGAGCTCCGAGCACCAGCTTTGGAGAGCGCCGTCAGCGAACTGGTGCCCGTTGTCTGAGACCAGTACATGGGGTATACCAAATCGGCAAACGATGTTTTTCCAGAGGAACTTCTGCACCGACCTGCTGCTAATGGTGGTAAGGGGCTCGGCCTCCACCCATTTGGTGAATTAATCTATGGCCACCACCACATGCTGATAACCCCCAGGAGCTCGGGGAAACGGACCCAGCAGGTCGATTCTCCATTGGAAGAAAGGCAAAGGGCTCTGAAGAGGGATCATCTCCTGAGTTGGGGCGTGATGGATCGGCGCATGCAGCTGGCAGGACTTGCACCGAGCCACCAGTTCGGCAGAATCCAAGAAAATGGTCAGCCAGTAGTACCCAGACAGCATTCATTTCTTGGCCAAAACCCTTGGACCGACGTGGTTTCCACAGATACTTTCATGCAACTCACGCAGGATGTAGTCTCCTTCCTCTGGAGTTACGCATCTCAGCCACGGGCGGAGGTAGGATTTCTTGTAAAGTACCCCATTCGAGAGCTCGTATCCCCGCGACCTGAGGATGACCCTTCGCGCCTCCACCCGGCTTGGAGGGAGCTCTTCGCTGCTAGGTACCGTACGATGAGATCCATCCATGAGCTCGTTATTTGAATAACAGAAGCGTTTACCTGGTCGTACGCCCGATTTCTGACGATTTCCACCAAGACTTCTTTGTTCAACGTACCGACCGAGGTGGAAGCTAGCTTGGACAGAGCATCCGCTCTCTTATTTTGGCTTCGCGGGACCTGCTTGAGCGTGAATAATTTGAACTGAGCTCTCAGCTCATGCACTTTGGCGACGTACCTTCTCAGGGGCTCTTCCTTAACCTCGTAACCCCCCGACCTGGTTTACTATCATCTGTGAGTCGCTGTAGACTTCTATTGACTCGGCCCCCAATTTCCGAGCTATCTCCATCCCCGCGACCAGGGCCTCGTACTCGGACTCGTTGTTAGAGGCCCTGAAATCAAACCTCAAGGCGTAGGCCAGTTCATCCCCCATAGGGCTAGTCAAGAGAAGCCCTGCTCCGCATCCTTCCTTGCTTGAAGATCCATCCACGAACAGCGTCCAGGTCGGGATGGACTGATCTGCCTTTTCGGCGTCTTGGCCGACTTCCACAGCATTTCCGACCTGTTCGGCCTCCGCTGTGCTCAACCTATCCTCGGCTTCCTCAGTAGCCTGTATGACCACGGCAGGTTTTTCGGCCTGCTTGGCCTCAACTGCACCTACGGTCTGTTCGGCCTCGGAAGTCTTAGTGCCTTTCATGACCTCGACAGCTTCTCCGGCCCGCCGAGCCTCAGCTGCGTCTTGGGTCGGTCCGGACTTTGCGGCCTGCGCGACCTTGGCAACTCCTCCGGCCTGCTCGGCCTTGGCTGCGTTTCCGGTCAGCTCGACCTGCGATCCCTGTTGTCCAAAGGAAACCCCTTCAGCTATGAAATCTGCCAATGCTTGGGCCTTAATGGCCGTGCGAGGATGGTAGCTGAGATCGTACTCGGACAGCTCCACAGCCCATCTTACCATTCTTCCTGATGCATCAGGCTTTGAAAGGATTTGCTTGAGAGGCTGATCGGTCATAACGACCACGGGATGAGCTTGAAAATACGACCTGAGCTTCCGGGCCGCGTGAACTAATGCCAAAACATACTGCTCAACCGAGGTGTACCTTGGCTCCGCGCCCTACAGAGCTCGGCTGACATAGTATACGGGCCTCTGAATTTTGCCTTCTTCCCGAACTAGTACCGCACTGATTGCCTCCTCCCCCGCGGCCAGATAAATAAACAAGGTCTCTCCTTGTGCGGGAGAGGTCAAGGCCGGCAACCGAGCGATGTGGGCTTTTAGTTCGTCAAACGCTCGTTGGCATTCGGGTGTCCACTCAAACTGGGGGCCTCTTCGCAGTGCTCTGAAGAAGGGGGAACCCCGAACTGCAGATTTCGACAAGAACCTGTTCAGGGCAGCCATCCTGCCAGCTAGCCGTTGGACCTCTTTTATATTTCGAGGTGGAGCCATGTCCATTATAGCTTTTATCTTGTCGGGATTAGCTCTTACTCCGTCCTTGGATATCATCTACCCAAGGAACTTGCCCGACCTGACCCCAAAAGTGCATTTCTTGGGATTCAGCCGCATCCGCGAGCTCCGCAGGACGTTGAAGATCTCCCTGAGGTCGCTAATGAACTGCTCCTGAGTTCGGCTTTTTACCAGCATGTCATCTACGTATACCTCCATGTTTCGGCCGATCTGGTTCCTGAACATCTTGTTGACCAGTCGCTGATAGGTCGCGCCAGCGTTCTTCAATCCAAATGGCATGGTGGTATAACAATACGTGCCGTATTCGGTGATGAAGGCAGTCTTCTCTTGATCCTTCTCGTCCAGAGCTATCTGGTGATACCCTTTGAAGGCATCCAAAAAGCAGAAAATCTCGTATCCAGTAGTTGAGTCGACCAGCTGGTCGATGCAGGGGAGGGGGTAACAGTCCTTCGGACAAGCTTTATTCAGATCGGTGAAGTCCACGCACATCCGCCAAGCTCTGTCTTCCTTTTTCACCAACACAGGGTTAGCCAGCCAGGTCGGATAGTAGATCTCTTTCACAATTCTGGCTTCCAACAGCTTGCCTACCTCCTCCTTGACGACCTCGTTGCGCTCAGGAGCGAAGTTTCTCTTCTTTTGCTTCACTGGCCGGAGGCTCGGGTCGACGTGCAACTTGTGAACTGCCAGCTCGGGAGGAACTCCGGGCATGTCGTCAGCACTCCAAGCAAAGATCTCAGCGTATTCCTCCAGTAGAGACTCCAGAGCTCTCCGTGTCGGCTCGCTTAGGCCAGCTCCGGCCCTCACCACGCGATCGGGTCGCTCGGTGCAGATGGGCAATTCGACCAGACTCTCATCTGTCTCCATCCTTTCCTCCTTTTCAGCAGGCTCCCAGGGTTCCAAACAGGTTGTCTGGGCCACCATCTTCTCCTTACCTTTGAGGGTTGCGATGTAACAGGCCCGAGCTACCTCCGGGTCTCCCAGCACCTCGGCCACTCCATCGGGCGTGGGGAACTTCATGCTAAGGTGCAAAGTCGAACAGACAGCTCGGAGCACGTTTAGGGTTGGTCGCCCAAGTATCATATTGTAGGAGGATGGCTCCTTTACCACCGCGATATTCACCGGGACAGTTCGGCACTTCGGCTACTCCCCTACAGTGACCATGAGGGTTATCATTCCCTCGGGCCTTACCGGCGGACCTGCAAAACCTATTAAAGGAGTTCGGACGAGGATGAGCTGCTTATCTTCCAGCTGCAACTCTTTGAAGGTTTTGTAGTATAGCACATCGATGGCACTCCCATTGTCGATGTATACCTTCTTTACCTTGTAGTTACACGTGATGACCTCTATTACAATCGCTTCATGGTTATTGGAGGCTAGGGGTACCGCGTCCTCCGGCCCATAGATGATCTCTTCGTACATCTTTAAACGCTTGTTAGAGCTTTCCCCACTGGGGGAAGGCCGGTTGTTTCGCCGAGCCGTATGACTGTCTCCCCCACAGGTCCCCCTGCGATAGTGTTGATTACCCCAGCTAGATTCTGAACCCCCTGCTCCGGAGTTCGATCACGGGGACCCGAGGTCGGTCGCGCGAGCTAGTCGCCCGTTCTCGGTTGAACCCCCCTTGCTTTTGATCGGCTCAGCCGTCACGGATGAACTGCCCGAGGTGGCCTCTCCGTATCAGCTTTTCAATCTCCTTCTTGAGGTGTCTGCAATCCTCAGTATCGTGCCCGACGTCCCTGTGGTAAGCACAGTACAAACCCTGGTCGCGCTGGTTTTTGTCCCCAGCCAGTGGCCGAGGAGGGCGCAAGATCCCCTGTTGTTCCATTACGGCGAGAACCGAGCTCGGGGCGCGGTGAGCGAAGTCCAAGCCTTTTCCTTCTCCCAAGGTCGGCTCCGAGGTAAGCGCTCGGGTACGCTCTTCCGTGCCTGACCTGGTCGCGACTCTCCCAGGTCGGCACCCCTCCTGCGCTTGTCGTCACGCAGCTTCTCCTGAGCGCCTTTCAATCGGTTGGCCTCCTCGGCATTCGCCTTCTCGTGAGCTCGGTCTAGCATCTCCCGAACGGACTTGGGAGGTTTTTCCACGAACTCCGTATACAGCTTCTGCTTGCGCAGCCCATTGACAAAGGCAGCCATCACAACCTTGTCATCCCGATCCCGTACCTGGAGGGATTCGTTGTTGAAGCGCACCATGTACTCGCGCAATGACTCCTCGGGCCCTTGATGAACAGTCATCAGATGAGCCGTGGTTTTGGAAAAAGCACGCGAGGAGACGAACTGAGCCACGAACAACCGCGCGAGCTGGCCGAACGACCTAACCGACCTGGGGGGCAACCCCTGGAACCACTGCCGGGCCTTTCCTTCCAGGAACATCGGAAAGGTCTTGCACCTGACCGCGTCAGCAGCTGTCTGCAGGCGCATCTGAGTCAGGAACGCGAACAGGTGATCTTCCGGATCCGTGGTCACGTCGTAAGACTTCATGGACGGTATTTTGAACTTTGCGGGCAGGGGATAGTCTTCGATATCCGGTACGAAGGGCGAGGCTGTGTACCTGTCCGACTCCGGATCCAGCATGAGGTCCAGTTCGTCCTGGATCTGGTATTCCTCCTTCCTGCGGGGAACCTCCACCCGCGAGGGCCTCGGGACAGGCTCCGGATGGCTAGTTCGGGAGTTCCTGTGAGAGGGCTCGGGAACCTGGACCTGCTCACGCGTGAGCTCCTTTCGTGCCCTCTTCGGCCGAGGGACAGGGCTCCCTGATCGGGATTCCGAACTCCCTGTTCCGTCAGCTTTTCGCGCCCGGGGCTCCGGACTGGGGGGGACTCCGGATTGCTCCTTCAGGTATTTCACAATGGCCTCGAAGGTGGGCAAGTTCGCCGCTACGGACTGCACCAGCTGTTCTGGCGAGATCCGTGAGAGCTCAATCCTCTCATTTCCCACGATGGTATCCTGGTGGACGTGCTGAGGGTCGCCCTGCCCGTTTCCCTCAGAACCATCCACATTTTTCTGAGATCTAGTCTTCGGCATGTTGTTCGCGAAAGAGAAGAGAATACGTTTCCCACAGACGGCGCCAATTGATGCGACTGCCGAAGTAAAGATCCGAACTGAACTGGGTCTGGAGAGCGAGCTGGTGAGGCGCCCGACCTGCACGTGAACGAGCTGCGGGCTAAGTCCCCTGTAGCAACTCCGACGATCAAGTCAGAATGAATTCGTAAGTTACCGAGTGGAATTTGCACTATGAATAGCGTACCTTGTGTTTCCCCTTCGTGTGGTATTTATAGAGCCTCAGGTTGTAGTTTCCTGGTAGGACAAGGAGTCCTTATTGGAGAGAGTTGGTTCCTAGGGCTCCATGACCCAGATCTGAAGACGCGGACTCCGCGGCCCATCAGACCTCTTTGCCCGAGAGGCGGCGCCCACAAGGGCCAGCGAGCCGACCTGACACTCCGGCCCAGCTCCTCCAGTCCGAGCTCATGGGCCAGATTGACGTGTGTGCGGACCTGGCCGACGTGCTCCTGGGCCCCACTACAATTGCATATGAACAGTATATGTCTAAGCCATTTGAGACATGGAGGTATGTAACTGATTACATAAGCTTCATGGATCTTCTCATAGATTCACCGTCCGACGTTGAAAAGCTTCGCAACCGTGACATCATCAGGCATGGGTTAGGCAGTGATAAAGCAGTCTCTAAAATGTTCAACAAGTTAAGCAGTGATGTTTCTATTGAAGTTCCTTTCTGTTACCACGAAGTTTTTGAGGACATGAGGAAGTACTCCCGCAACCGCAGCCGTACTTGGTGGGCAAACCTCATGCGGAATTATTTTCATAACCCGTGGTCAATCATTTCATGTCTGGCTGCATGCGTTTTGATTCTTCTCGCATTGGTGCAGACCATATTTTCCATCCTACACTAGACTTTGACTTAATGAAATTAAAGTGAGCTAGTTGTGCTTGTTTTGTAATTTGTTAGTCATTGTACTTAAATACCAACAACATCATTTTATTTGTGTTCCGATTGATAAAAAATTCTTGATGTAAAAGAACTTTCCTGTCTTGGATATTACATGAACTCCTAAATGCATGTTCTGCTAATAATGAACATGATCTCTTCTGTATTATGATCTACTACTGAACATTAAAATAGCAATGCCCCGTCGGGGTCATTGATTCATTTTAGTCAACCTGACAATTTTTATGAACATGGATCTGTCTACACATGTATTTGTATGTCTGTGTCAAGTATAACCACAGTACGAGGCTAACTTTGAGTGTTACATGGCACCGGTTCGATCTTAGTGAGAGTACTACTAAATGCATGCAAAGGCTGGCGATGAGAACTCAATGAAGCACGAAAATTAAGTGCACAAGATTTTAAGCAAACTGCAAAGAAAGAATTAAAAAAATGAAGCTTTAGCATTCATCTGGCAAAAATCCTTGGCATACTATCATATATAATAGCAGTTAGATACCAGTTGATTGAAATGCTAACAAAAAAGTGTACTCAAAACATATAGTTTTACAGGATCTAATTGTTACTCCTGTGATTTAAAGAAGACAATAGAGAAAAGGCTCAGTTGATTTTCAAACAAAGAAAACCCGGAAGAACAATTTATTGGGAAAATAGTTATAAACACGAATTGCTTGTTACTTATGGTTCCCGAAATCTTGTCTAATTAGCCACTGCATCCACATTGGCTAGAATGCTAAGTAAGGCATAAAGACTGAAAGAAAAAGAGAAAAAAAAAGAAGCAGTACAATAAGTAAATCTGTCGTGCTTGCTGGTACCAAAATTAAGTACATATGTAAATTTTAAGTAGTTCTTGGTTGTAAATGTGAAGGCTTTATCTAAGAAATGTTGTCTCCAACGTTCCGACCTTTCTCATGTTTGTCACTTCGCGAAGCACAGCATATGCTAAGGAATAAGGGCTGAGACATGTCTACTTTTTTAAAGAAATAGAGGGCTTAAACATTGGCTGTTCTCTTCTCTTCTCTTCTCCTCTTTATTGCGCTCAGTCACTCACTATTTTCCCTCCACAAAGAAAAAATTGCTAGCCATCTAAAGTTTAGTGGAAAAGAACAGCTATGAACTCATATCTCAAAATTCTAGAAAATTAAAATGTTTAAGAATTTGTAGATCCTATCTAAATGAACATCTTGAAGTACAGATTATCTTCTGCTGAGTACATTAATAAGTTCAAAGGAACTTTCTATAGGTTTTTATACATTGGACTATTGGAGAAAAGAACAAAGGGGCTAAATTATTAATTAAGTTATTTTTCAACTATTTAAATTGGTATACCAAAAACAAAAAAAAAATTTATTCTTCATCGACTATAAGATAAAAGCAAATGTGTCAATAAACCACTCTTTAATTTTCTTTTTTAATTTTTAGTATCTTTTCCTATATAAAGTTAGACGTATGCCACTAGACTAATATATCCAAAAGGTGGCAACATGGCTGGTATGATGTGGTCTTACAAAAATAAAAGTAAAAAAATAATAAAAAAAATAATAAAAAAATAATAATAGTATAAATTGGACTACCTATGAGCTTCCCATCCCAAAGGACTAATAGCTTGTGATACAACTTCCACCTGCTTTCTCCAGCTTTTTGTTTCTATTTCTGATCAAGATTGCTACACGTGAGACTCTCCTCTTGCCCAGGTAAATTTTTTGACAGGTTGTCGAAGCCTGTGCAATAATAAAACCTGCTCAAACTAAAAGTAATTTCAGTAGATAGTGGTGAGCAGGGTCAAATTCACAGGGATTGGGAGTAATTATTTCTTTTCAAATTCACAGTGACAAGGGGGTGTTTTTATGCAGAAGGTGACAATAAAAGAAGTTCAAATAAAATCTAAGAAACTACTAAAAATTAAACAACAAATTACTAAAATCAAATGAATGATAATTAAGGATCTAGCCAAGGAATAACTTCAGCAATGGTTCACCTAGTTGATCATTGAAGCAAAGGCAATTCCAATTATTCATCAATAAATAGGTTATAACTACCAAACAAGCGATGGCAGTCAACCCCTCCTTACTGTGTCGGTGATCAAGGTACGCCCGTTAATCACTGCTCTAATTGAGAAATAATCCTAGGTACGCCCGTAGAATTTAATTCCCCAATTGCCTTACATATTAGAGGAGCCCTATTCTAACCAAATAACGCACTACCAGGGTTATTTTAGATTAGCCCGCGTATTCCCCTGACACAAATCTAATCATGCCAGTTGTCACTATTTTGAGGTAATTAAACAATTACGGATTTAACACCTTAATTGACAATAGATTATCCAATCAACTAATTATCTGGATCCAAAATAATTAATTAATTAAATAATCATAAACATAGCAATTAAGAAATATGCGAATACCAATAAATAAAAGAAAAAGATAAAATTAAATCGATCTCACAATTTTAGGCGATCCAAAGCATCCATTGTCCCTTGACTAGGGAAAGAAAATTTAGTTCATGTTTGATGAACAAAACCCGTAGGAAAGTGAAGAAACGATCCCAACCATTATTCTTGTTCACGAGACTTCACCTTGATCGACTGAATAAAGAAAAGCTTGGAAAACAATGATTGATTCAATTCTTCAAAGAGTCCCTGTCACGCGTGGACTGAAGCTTCCTAAGAGACAAAAGAAAGGTCAAAGCTCTCTAAGAAAGCTCCTCACCTACGTGAACTGGAGCTAAAGCTAAACACTAGTCTAACTACTATGCTACAGGACGAAAAGAGAAAAAGGTAATGCCCTCTCTCTGCAATTACAATTTGCCTGTTCTAATCCTTCGCTCTCCTGTGCGGCGGCTCCCCTTCCGGAGAGGAAGAAGAAGACCCCCGCTTCAGCACTTCGTTCCTCCTTTTAATGTTGCCCTCTGCGAATTACCAAAAAGAACTTGTATCTCCTTGTTCCAAAAATGTCCTGGATGCCTGCTACTTGAACTCTTTCCTGATAACTGTCAAATCGGCACTTATTATGATATTTTCGTTCTACTCCCTGAAATATGTGTAAAATACTAAAAGTGAGTAGAATCTAATAATTAATTCACATTGAGTTAAGTAATAGGGAAATTAATAGTAAAATAAATGATAAAATTGCAACATATCATTTTTCAAGTATTTCCCTTGATAAGTGACTAATTTACGTAATAATTGTATGATATCACTTTGGTTACATTATTGGAAGAAAATGATTCATTTTGGCTATAATTGGTGTAAAATGCTTTTGTTCAATTAAATGAGGTTTTTATCACTTTTTACTTGGATTTTGTGTATTTTGATAGTTTTGACACATTTTCATATTTCGGCTATAACTTGAACTCCAATGATCGGAGTGCTCGTGTTTTTTACTCTCAAGTCAAGATTAATTGTAATTTTCCTCTTCAAAAGTCTATGGCTGCTAATTAAGCCGTGTTATAAATATATCCTGATATTAATTCTCCATTTTTCATTACGCAGATTGAACATTTAATTTGCCATTTTACCAGCCATGACTTTATGATATTCTTACAATCTTAAACTTAGTACTGGATTTTCAAATCTGGAAAAGTTGGAACTTTTGTGTTATGACACGTTAGAACTAACTTTGTTACAGCATTTATTCATGCTAATTTTGATAAATAAGGAATTCAAATTATTCTGCGATATTTGATGAAAGTTCATATTATGTTAATTCAAGAAATAGACCAAGACATCTTCCTTTAGCTCCCTAAAAATCATTTAGAGTGTTATGTATGATTTGATAGGATCCATTTAATTTTATTTTCTCCAAAAATATTTTTTTTAGCAAATGTACTTCAAGTCATACCTTTCTCTTGGCTAATATCCTTAAACATGGGTCTTTAAGCTACATTTTTTTACACTTTTTTTAACCCTTTTTCTTTCTCAATTTTACTGTATTGTTTAAAAGAATTATGATTAAAAAAATTCAAGGACAGCTGAAAAGAATAAGCGCCCCAGCACAACGCGCGGTTACCCCTAGATTTAAACACATGAACAACCTAGGATTGACATTAAAACCATTAAAAGATAGTTTTTTCTTTTAACTGAAATAGCATTATTGTTCATTTGCACCACCATTAATAGCAAAAAAGAAAAACTTATGAAACTCACTGAAACGGAAAATTAAGTCATAAAAGCACATAAAGGAGAACAATTAATTAATGATAACACCGAAAAATTAACTAATTCAGGTGACATGAAAGAGAACGTTCGAAATCCATCAAATAGACAGAGACTTTTTACCCACTTTATACACTTCATCCATAAAATGACAAACAATCTAATGTTAACTTCTCTACAACAATTTCTACTCTCTTGGACACGAAAAAGAAGAAGGACAGTAAAAAAAAGTGATTGCAGGTACCAATCTTATGCATACTTTTCTTTTCTTTTCTTTTTTTTTTTTTGGGGTCTGGAGGGTAAGGGGTATCTTGGAATCACCGATTCTGATCCCCCAGGCTGAACAGAGTTCACCCCATAGATGACTAACAACAGTAGCACGTGGGGGTCGAATCTGAGATCTTGTTATAACTATAAACGACTAGTTACAACTGAGCTACCCATGAGGGGCTTATGCATACTTTTCTAAAATTGATATTTTGGTGAACCATTCTATATATCCTCTGATATTCATCTATTTTAGATATTATATTTATACTCAGGGCCTTTACTTTGAATCTTTTTTAATTTTTTTTACTAATCAAACAGTTGCAGTTTTTTCCCATTCATCTATTTTCGGCTCCTATGGAAACATCACAGAATCAGTTGATAAGCTCATTAAGGCCTGATGAGAAAATGTGGATGCGTAGAGTCTTGCTATTACTGAAATTTGGCATCGAGGCGTATATCGGTAAACAAAAATCTGGAAATCTTCAGAAGTTAATTTTCCTAGACAGGCAGGTAAAAAATCATAAACTTTCACATTTACTATTGAATCTATATTTTGCACATTATTTCAAGAAAAATTCAAAAGGCATATAAAAATTCAAGCTATTATGTTTGATGACATCAAGGAAAACTGTTCCTGTTCCTTATAGGAATCAACATAAAATGAGGACTTTCCTCCATCTCTCTGTCTCAACCATTTGGTCGTCACCTTCCTTTCCTCCTCTTCTAGCTATCCTTAATTTCCCCTCAAATCCCAAATTAATTATCTTCTCTAGGTTATTATGTCCTTCATAACCAGAGCTACAATCTTTGAATGGCTAACTTGTATCTCCCCATTTTTATTTTTTACTTTTTTCTGTCTTCTGAAAATAATATTCAATTATCTAGACATGTACTGCACATAGAAGATTAAGCAACTACGGTGATGATTAAAGGGATAATTGATTATGCTTGCTGGTGGTGGATGGCTTGAGATTTAGATTTTTGTAAAGCTAAATCATGAACATGAGTAAAATGGTTGCTAAAGCTCACTGGTCATCTGTCAGTATAGTTTATCATCAATGAGTTCGGTTGGCTTTCTTGTAAGTTGATTCAATTGCTTATTGGATATGAATATTTTTCATGTAAAAAGTGACTTTGAATTTATTAGTCTACTCAGCAGGAGATAATCTGTAATTCAAGATTTCATTCGATAGGATACAAATTCTTAAACATTTTATTTTTCCAGAATTTTGAGATATGAGTTACAGCCACGGATTTAAGGGGGGGCTGGTGGAGGCTTAAGCCCCCCCCAAGCCGCCGGAAAACCCCCTATATATAGGGGATTCCGGCGGCCAGCCCAGCCCCCCCACGGTGATCCAGATCTACCATCCTCCATGGCTCCATGAATGCTGCAGAGGAAGTGAAGAAGAGCTGGAAAGCCGCTGCCGTGCTGACTGCTGAGGAAGAAGATGACCCATTTCATTTTGAATTTTTTTTTTTTGCCCTCTAAATACAAAACGACGTCGTTTCACTTTTAGTGGAACGACGTCGTTTTGTATAATGAGGGGAAAAAAAAAATACATCAGATGAAGCCCTAACTCCTAAGGCTTCATCTGATGCAAAAGCACGCCGCCAGTGCCAAAGGGCAAACAAGACTCCAACTCCAAGAAGAAGACGCCAGGCTCCAAGAACTCCAAGAAGCTTCAGTTGAGATTCTACCATCCTGCTTCAAGCCTTCAATTCAAGGCTCCAAGACTCCAACTCTCCACCATTCCATTCACATAAATCTTTTAGGTTAGTTTTTTGGTTTAAATTACAATATTCATCTTTATATTTTTGTTAATTATATGTTTAAATTATTTTTGAATTTTGAGTATCTTGATATTAATTTGATTAAGATTAATTTTTATTTAGTTTATGTTAATGTAATTTAAGAATTTGAAAGATTACATTAAAAAATTTAATGATATTAAATTTAAATTAGAAATTAGTTTAGAAATTGTATAGATTTTAGGTTGTATTTAGTTTTTAAAATTTTGTTAGTTTTATATTTGAAATTTTAAGAATTAATTATGTGAATTAGAAATTTTGAATGTAAATATAAATTCAAAATTTTATGAGATTGAATTAGAGATTATATGGGTATTTAGTTGTACCTTATTTTAACTTTTTGATAATTTTATATAATGAATTTTATAAATTGAGAAATATAAGTAATATGAATTTATTATTAAATTAAAGAATTATTTATATGAATTTTAAATTAATTGATTATTGAATTGCATAATTTTATTGAATTTAACCACAATTATTTAATTGTGACAGAAAATGGAGAGATTCTTTAAACCTAAACGAGTCCGTAGTGGTGAATCTTCAAATGAGCCTAATATTAGTGAACCAGTTCAAAATCAATCTTGTGTGGAATTGAATTTAAATGATATTGTTAGTGATCCGGGATTACGAAAATCAGTTGAGAAATTTGATATTTCTCTTCGAGACCATGTCCGAAGAGAGTATTTGACTAGGGGACCTTGCCAACCGATTGGCCATATGTATCCAAAAACATCATTTGGTAAACAACATAGAAGTTTCCAAGATAGTTGGTATCAAAAGTTTGTATGGTTAGAGTATAGCATATCGAAAGATGCGGCGTTTTGCTTTTGGTGCTTTCTTTTCAAAACACAAAATAAGGGAGGTCGATATGCAGAGGATGCCTTTACAAAAACGGGATTCAATAATTGGAAAAAGGCAATGGAAAGATTTAATGAACATATTGGAGCTGTGAATAGTTGCCATAATGATGCTAGAATACAGTTTGAAAGTTTTCAAGATCAAAGGCATAGTGTGTCAAATGTGCTACGATCTTGTGGGCGCGAAATAGATATTGCATATCGCACCCGTTTAACTGCTGCTCTGGATGTGACCCGCTTTCTTTTGAAGCAAGGATTGGCTTTTCGTGGAAATGATGAGTCAACTAGTTCTTCAAATAGAGGCAATTTTCTTGAATTGTTTGAGTGGTATAGCCAACGAAATACTGAGATTTTTGAGGTTGTAAATCAAAATGCTCCTGCAAATAATCAACTAACTTCTCCAATGATTCAAAAAGATCTGGCACATGCTTGTGCCTCAGAGATCACAAGTGTTATAATCAATGATATTGGAGACAATTATTTTTCCCTAATAGTTGATGAGTCTCGAGACAGTTCAGTGAAAGAGCAAATGGGAGTTGTTTTGAGATATGTGAACAAAGAAGGGCGTGTGATTAAACGTTTCCTTGCAATTGTACATGTGTCTGACACCACATCTCTTTGTTTGAAAGATGCAATTGTACATGTGTCACAAAAAAAATTTTTTAATACACTTCAACCCCCCCAAAAATAAATTTCTGGCTCCGTCCCTGCAAATAGACATTGCATATATGTACATATAGAAACATAGATTCAATATACGTATATAAATTATACTCCCTCCATTCCAATGTGATAAATAACAAAAAGTGGTGCTCAAATCAATGTTTCGTTTGGTTTATTTCATTTCCAACAAACTTTTTTCCACTCGTAATAAATTTCAATCATATCTTTGCTATCCATATATAGTAACTATGCCCAGTGATGTTATAATTGTTAGATTCATAAGTTTATTAACTTTTTCAGAAATTGAATATTCGATTACGAGAAAAGAAGATGTTGCATTTTTTTTGTAATAGAGCACTTAGTTTTGTTTAGCTCTAGCTGTATAACAACACCAAAAAATCTAATTACTATCTCAAACAATACTGGCTAATTTTTACAAAACTTATCGAATTATAATCCACTAAGGTATAAAATTTACTGAATCAGAAATGATTCTCGCTAACTGCATTCTTGGATGTTCCACGACCTTTCCGGGAGCCATGATTCAGAATAGACCTTATTGGTAAATGAGTCGGTTATCGGACTCTGTCAAGTGCCATTTACCAAGTCTTAAAGGTTAGTGTATTAGACAAAAATATATTTGTTGAGAAATCAGCAAATTGATGCCTTAGAAATCTGAATTTCAGGTATGCAAGAGATTTAACATTGTGGACATTGGGAACTTGCTGGCAATGTAAAGGCCTACTCGAAATGCAAATGTTGGTGGCTTTCCCATGCTTCTAACTCTAAGTAGCTACCGTTGGGAAACTTGTACCTGATGCTGAACCCTCACAGCCAAATTTGTTTGTTCATGGATTTGACACTATTTTTTTTTATAATTTGTTTTCCTAACGGGGGAGGGATGGGATTAAGAAGCGGCGAGGGAGTTAAGGGATTAGAACTTAGAATTTCTACTTTTTGGGATCTCAATCTTGGATTTGACACTATTTACTTGTCCTAAACAATAAGCAAAATTACGGTGCCTTAGAAACATGAATCTAAATATATAGCACCGTGTCAATATATGAATTTTGGGATAATTTCAGAAACCTCCTCTTATAATATCACTTAGCTCCCCTGAAGTTTTTAAAATTTCACTTACCTCCTTTGTCAAGTTGACAAGACTAAATATTCCTATGAAAGGTCACAAATTGACAATATTACCATTGCTCTTAATAACCATTTAACCAAAAAGCCAAAACAAAATAAAATTTTAAAAGCAAAAAATGTAAATTAAAAAAACACATTGCTAGCTAATAATGGTCCATATTTCTTTGTATTGGAGTCATGGTGGAATAGCAAAGGACATGAATAAATTAAATCTAATCAAGATTTCGTGCACAGTTACAATTAAGGAAGTCAAGATATTTTTTGAGGAAATATGTTTTAATTCATGGTGTAGTTTAAGTTGTATTAGAAACTAAAATAATCTCTTCATATGTGTGAATTTTTCAAGGTGTAAATTTTGCTTTTGTTTCAATACAACTAAAATAAATAGTTTACGTTAAAAAATTTAACCTTATTTTATTTTTTATTGCTTTATAAATTTCATAAGTAGGATAATATAAGGGTAGTATTGGAACAAAAGTTTTATCTTTTTTGCATTTCCTCCAAAGGGGTTACAATGTTACAAGAAATGTCAATCCAAGAAAGGTAAGTGAGATTTTAAAAATCTCAGGGGAGCTGAATGATATTATAAGAAACCTTAGGGGAGGTTTCTGAAATTATCCCAGGAATTTTTCAACTCATTATATTAATTTGCTGCGAATTTCCGCGTCTCTGATTTCTTGTGAACATGCATACTAAATGCATGCTATCTGATTTCTTCCAAATGGTTTTCTATTTTTTTTTCCCCATCTCGGTTTGATTTGCATTCCATCGGAGATGCATCCCATCTGCTTCTAAACAACCATTATTCATTAATTTGACCTTAATGAATCAAATACCTTCTATTTAAAAAATAAACGCGTAATAGAAATCAGAAGATCATAAACTAATCTAATGATAATTGCATAATTCTTGGAGCCATGTAACGCTATGCATAAATTTTTTTTTTTTTTTGTTTTGGTGGCACAAAAGTAGTGTAATACTATTATTGAGTTCAGTCAGTTGCCTTGCTAGTTTTTAACCATAGTCACGGCAGGACTCGCGATCTAACTTGATTCAACTCTTTCCTTTATGTTCTTGGGATGACTCTTCCATCAGGGTCCTAAATAGTTTTTTTTTTTTTGTAATGAAAGGAAATTGGGTCCTAGATAGCTTTATTATTTGTTAACTTACATCAGGCTTCTTAAGATGCATTTTCTAATTAAGTGAGACTGAAAAATGTTCTAACAAGTGGACTAATAAATCATTTTGTGACGACATGGAATTAGAAGATCATCTTGTCCTTTTTCCGGTGGACCGACAAAATGCTAGCTTCAAATTAGGACTAGGTTTTTCTTGAAAAGGACTAGGTTTGGGATTGGGGCCAAAGATATTACTTAACCAAGTAAACATTCCCCTACCTAGAATATATGTCGCTTTAAAAGACCAAGACAAACATGCAAGACGTTCTTTCATAATATGCTGGCCCGACGAAGTTCGTCAAAGTTCCTCTGTCTTAACCCTTAATATTTACGAATTATCCCACACGAGGGTAGGCAATTAAATGGTGGACAGATATTACAAGCTAAGTTATGCCTTAAACATGTAAACTACCAATCAGTCACAAATGTTACCCAAAAAAAAAAGGGAAAAACAAAAGGTTTGCATGGAAAAGCAAAAAAGCAAAGACATACAATTGTTTATTATCCTATCAATCTTTTTTAACATTCCATATTACTTTATAAACTTTTAATGATCAAAGACCATAAGGCAAGATAAGCCAAGAGCAAATGCAAATGATTGCACTGAGTACTCGACTTTAGTCACCATGAGAGTTTTTACAAAAACCCAAGCCTTTACTTTGAGAGTCTTGAAGCATTCCAACTTTAGCACAGCATAAGACAAAATCAAACACAAAAGATTCCTCTATTTAACTGTTTTTAACTTTAAGATTCTTGAAGTATTGTACTTGAGTCAGAAGCTTAAGATAAGGATAAAAAAAAAACATGAACACTACAACGTCGAAATTGCGAGCGAGTATATATATATATAGGGCAGTTGTGATTGCTAGCTAGAGGAAATATAGGAGCTCAAAACCACGCATTGGTAACAGGTTAGAGTTTTCTTCTTCTCCTCTAGGCATATAATCATATTCTTCCCTTTTTATTCGATGCAACATCTTAAATGCATATATAGCTGTACAAATATATTTTAGCCTGCTCCAAATTCGTAGAGAAATAAGGATCACGGTAATGGGTGAAATTTGCAATCAATCTAGTTGACGAGGAAGAAGAAAGTAGCTAGTCGATTTGGTTTCCATATATAAGTCACCTCTAATTAACTAAAATCGTGTTGATTTTGTTTAGTTCTGCACGTGTATAGCCAATGTTGATTAATTAGTCACTTGTCAAAAGTACTAACTAATCTCATCACCGATCATATACGTGTAAGTTGGATCACCAACGACCAACTAAATTGCTTGTTAAACTTAATTATTAATCTAAAACAACGGTACTGATGATTTTTTCCTTAATTTCAGCAAGAGATCGATTGTATTACTCAACACAAACAAAGATCATGTCCACCGACGCCACAACTGCCCGAATTTCTAATTGTATCCGTGAAAAGCTTTCTGGGCTATCAGATACTGACATTAGGGCGGCATCAAATGAGCGATGCATATTCAAGGTCCGTGAGAGAATACAAAGTCAAATCGAAGGGCCATATGAACCACAAATGGTTTCAATCGGACCTTATCACCGCGGTAAGCCGGGGTTGCAATTAATGGAAAAGTAAAAGCTGATTTACTTGAAACAGCTTCTTCAGCGTGAGGGAAATCTACAGATTTGCGTTGCGGCCATGGCAAATCTTGAAGGAGTAGCTCAGAGGTGGTACTCCGATGAAAGGATCAGTCATGATGGTGACGACGGCTTTGTGGAGATGATGCTTCTTGATGGCTGCTTCATACTCGAGCTGGTATGGAAAATTAATCACCCCACACAATCTACAGATGGCATTTTATCGGGCGCACTATTCATAGACCTATTAGGAATCGAAAATCAAGTCCCTTTCTTCATCCTTGTTGAATTGTTTCACAAGACCAACTCCAACTCTGGTGCCAGCAGCAAATTTAATGATTTGGCTCAGCGTCTAACTGATTTCGTAATTCTTTTTTGTGACAGCAAAGAGAATGAATATGTTGTTGATGATGGTCAGGTCATTCATCTACTTGACCTTGTCTACAAAGCCTGGACCTTTTCGTATGCTGCAAAATTTATTGCTCTTGGTCCATGGATTCGGGAGGATGATCCTTTCTCACTGTATCATATAACTTCTGCCAGTGAATTACAAGAAATTAATGGGGTTGAGTTCGAAGATAGTGGGAAAGGACCATGGCTTGAGATTATTTGGGAAAATGGTGTGGTAAAAATCCCTCGTTTTATGGTCCATGTTGATACAGAACGTCTGCTCAGAAACTTAATTCTCTACGAACAGCATTACACCCGTCATCATGAGGGCACGAGGGAGTATATAAATGATTATGCAATATTCATGGGAAGTCTCATAAATTCTTCTAGGGACGTCGAGGTACTGCGCAACAGTAGAATTATTACCAACAAGTTGAATGATGATCAGGCTGTCTCTACCATGTTTCGTCGGGTGTATTCAATGAAGTGGAAAAGTATGCCAAAAGCCGTTGGCATATCTGGTGGACGAAGCTCAGGAGGACCTACTTCAACACCCCCTGGTCCCCCATTTCATTTGTTGCTGCAGTTGTTGCGCTTATCCTCACTTTTCTCCAGACCTTGTATGCCATCCGGCCTGCGGAAAAAAATTAGTAGTAACAAAACTACTAAACGAGTCATATCGGCCACATGCTAAGTGCGTTTGTTTGGTCTGAATATTGTTTGTCTTTCTTTTTCAACACAACCTAAAAGACTTTCATCACCATCCATAAGTTGTGCTATCAGTCAAGTTTCTTGTTATTTCAGTATCTCATGGAGAAGAAATAAAAATCGTGTGTGTTTGTTTTGGTTTTGATGATATGTAATGTTTTTATTAATATATCTCTGCTTTCACTGTTTCAATGTCATCAGTTCGCCTGGCTTGGTATCATCAGTTACCCAATATGACTTTTTCTAAAGTTATTTTTAGTTCACAGATTGTGCAAGTATCTCTATTTTGCTGCATGCATGGAAATCATTTCGATCAGAGGCAGGAGAAAATTGAAGAACCCTCAAAAGTTTATGCACCAGCTCCTTAATTTTCTAATGTCTCTAGTTGTTCACTTCTCCAATAAACAAATCTTGATACAATAATGCTACACCAAAACCGAAAGCTGATATATACTTTTCTTTTCTTTTTTTTGGAGCAAAGGCTGATATCTACTTACAACTCTAAAAAAAGAAGAATAATGAAACTACCTATTTTTTAGATTTTGTGTTTTGTTTTCCATATAAACACATGCAACCCTATAACAAAAAAGTAATCAGTTAGATGTTTGACAAATACACGCTTAGTGGGCTAGGTTTTCAAATACTTTCCCGTCCCACTGAAAGTGTCATACTTTTCATTTTGAAATGTCACGAAATATTTGTCATGTTAAAAAAGT